GTATCTTTACGATATGGATAATTGTAAATTAAAAAATTAGGGACCCGCCATTTTGACGGGTTCCGCAAATCTAGTGTTAAAGTATGAGAAACGTTCGCTAAGAAGCACAGTAATTTCTCGCAGATTCGCGCTCAGATTGCGCTCAAAAATGGACTATTTGGGAAGAGCAGATACGATTATTCGAGCCTTGCGGCTCGTTGTTACAGTTACCGATTGTCGACAAATATAAAAATGAGCCACAAAACTCGAATGATCGTATCTCCTCTTCCCAAACTGTCCATTTTTGTGCGCAATCTGAGCATGAATTACTGTGTCTGCAAATTCTGTATTTTGGTGCACTTACCACAAGCATTAGAGATAAAGAACGGCTACCATAACTGTTATGATCAATATGAATCAGAGATTTGAGGCTTTCACGACCCGGCATCGTATAGTCTTTACTGTCGAGGCTTTCGAGTGTAAGAGTCCTTTTGGAAGAGTTGTTCCAACATGACGCAAGCATTGCTGCTAGCTTCATCAGAAGGGGTCGAGTGAAGGTGCCTGAGTGAGAGTACCAATGCGTCAATCGACCCCTGATCTATTGTGATTATTATTTGTAACCATAAAATGTAAATCTTTTAATCTTGCGCTTTTTTGAACAATTTCTTCTTACATTTCGCAATCAACAGCTTTTTCTTGAATAATAAACACGATTTTATTACTGATTGTATTCACAAAAATTGTCCAAATAACTATTATCTTGGGTCCCTGACAAAATATATAATTTGCAAAATAATATAATTCGAATTTCAGCGAAAATATTTATAATTTTTATCAACTTTTATGTCCAAAATCTAACATCTGATCGTACATTATACTGTAAATATGCTTTTCTAATCATGCCGACTCTTACTAATACTCTTTCACTCGTCCACCAGCGACATAAATTAACATTTTTCGCAAAAAAGTGTGTAATATATTTTATACTTTGTGCAGTAGGATGTACTGTAATAATTACCGATCGTACCATGATATATACTTGCAGGGACGTTACGAAGAACGGACCAGCCTTCAGGTATATCGAGTGTCTCGTCGACATCGTGGCTAGCACGAAGACTTGTACAATATCGGGGAAACTTTCTCGATGCCAGTCCGACAACCATTGACCTCTGTCCAGCACGGAAAACTGACCGATGGTAATCGCGTTAAAACATGCCATTTTCAGGAAGAACGATCGCCGATTCATCAGGTCCTCGGCCTAATTAATCAATACCGTTTCGATTAACTCTTACCGCATAGGTCAATTCATTTCCCATCCAGCATATATAAAAGAGCTGAGACATCGCTGCGCTCAGGTATACTCCGAACTTTATGATGTCTGAGTTCTGCCCTCCGACCTGTTCCAAACGATGCAAATCGATCACGATCTAAGCAGCGTATTCGACCAATCAAGTCTTACCACGACAGCCTGGAAACCAGTCAAGCAAATAATCGAGGTGCTCGAGACCATCTGAACGAATACGCTTGAGCTGTAGATATTATTGTAATCGTTGATCATCGACATCAGCCTCTGATGGAATCGAAGACAAGCCTTGTAACGACTCATGAAACCGCCGGTCGGGTTCCTGTAAACGCTACCAGTCTATGACGATAAAGACATCGTTATTCGTGGAAGCTGAAACCGTCCGATACACATTCTCGCTTACATCGTTCGCCGGTTGTCTGCCGCAATTCTCGAAATTCACGCTCAGTATGTTAATCTGCATCATGGCGAAATTGCACATCGTCAGTGTGATACCGTCCATGGACAGTATCGCGAGCACGCCGCCAGTAACTGCGAATATCTCCACGGTTAGGGCGATCTCGTGGTAAGGGGATATCGTGGTGTTGAAAGGATACTTTGCTCTGATCGGTAAACCATCCTCCATCGGCGAAAACAATAATAGAGCTATTACTAAAAAACACCCGATCATCCTGAATCCATGGTACATTATATTGTTGAACGTATAGTGCCCTTTAATAATGTCGGTGATGCGATCACTGTTGTCTAAAAATAACGTGCTTTCCATGTCTTTCGAAATTACAGTCGCTGAAATACATGCTCCATTTACCAGAAAACTCGATGAGATCGTCGGCGCATTTCACTATTTTTTCAATCAGCCGTTCGATTTCTTTCCGATGAAATTGATAATTCATGATCTTGAAGATGACAACGACGATGCCTGCGCAAATGCAACCACTGTCTGTAGCAACCGATATATCATCCATGTTCGTATAAACGTCTGCGAAAAGTGTGAACGTAAAGATGTACATCACAGCGATTATGAATATCTTCCAAAGAAAGTATCCGCATCGTAGGATCGATCGATTGTTGGGATTTATCGACCACAGTCCACAGTACCTGCACTGACAAAAATAACGCGTCGTTTCTCGATTATTCTGCAAAACGTTACGAAGTACAGTAGATTTTCCCTAATTTCGTGAATCCCTAATTTCTTCTCAATCTAAGAAGAGGAGATACGATTATTCAAGCTTGCGACCCGTTTTTATACGTGTTGACAATCGGTAACTATAAAAACGAGCCGGAAGGCTTGTACAATCGTGTCTCCTCTTCCCGAATTGTCCATTTTTATGCGCAATCTGAGCATCAATTAGAGAGAATTTACTGTACGTTCGTACATCCAGATAGCGAGAACCAGTTGCGCGCGTGGATGCAGCATTTTTCTAGAGAAGCTGTTCGTTCTATTGTGTTACATTTGTTGGAAATGAACGTTATTAATCCAGTTAAGCTAAAAGCACTTTCCGTGCAAAGAGACGCGTTCTTGATTCTCGCTTCTGAATGATCCTTGTAGCAACACGACGCAACTCTTACGTCAAATAAATCACTTGAATATACAGTACACTCCGAAACGACTTCAGCCACTGGTGTCTTGACTTCAAAGTCATTGGTAACGTCTCTCTCTCTCTGCGAGCTGCAAAAGACAAACAAGCCGTTCCAACTACGAAGAATCACGGTGTCGTGTAGGTAGGTACAAATCGTTGGATAGCACATGCCTCGGTACAATCTTGTCGCGTTATCAGGGGTTATTTCCTTTCAATCTTCTACGGTGCCTTTCGAGAAAATTGCGGATAAACGGATACGATTGTACGGCCGCTTTTCGAAATTACAGACCTTGCGGTGTTGCACGTATTCAGTCCCCTAAACACTTCCGCAAATGTCGATAAAAGTGACAGTAATTGCACAGCGATAGATAAACGAAACCACGTTCTATTACATGCTTGCGCGCAGAATAGATACGTTTCCCAGGAACACGTATCGAAACTATTTTACTGGGAGTAACTTGTAAGTTCCATCTATAGAAAAGTTGCGGTTGCAGTAGCAAACGAATAGTTCAACGATGTCGAAAATAATTTCAGTGTTTCGGTGACGTGCTACAGAAACGCTATGTATAGATTTACGATGCGAAGAGTCGCGTGCATGTAAGTTCACATTGTTCACACGTTCACAAGTTTCATGTGTTAGACATTTTTTTGTCTAAACAATATCTTACTATTTTTCGTTTAAAAATTAACCCAAATTATCACGTCTCTATTTGAATGTAAATTTGCTTGAACTTGTGTTTTAAAAAAAACATAACGCTTGTCTGGAATCGAACACGCGACGTTTGTTTTCCTTACGCGCGAGAAGTTTTAGGACTTTCCAATCAAATTGTTTTAGTCATAAGTGACAAAAATAATTGTCAGAAGTGGGATTCGAACCCACGCCCTCAAAGAGGACCAGAAGGCCCAGGAAAAACTCAGTGGTTGTAATCACAGTGAGAAGGTCATTAACCTTGAGTCTGGCGCCTTAGACCGCTCGGCCATTCTGACAGTTGCGATTCTATTTCCTAAATTTATATCTCGTTCTCCTCGAAGCAAAATGCTGTAAATTATTTTACGGTACGATATGGTCTAGTGTTCTAATGAAATATAACTTGTAGTACATTCTGCAGAAATATTAATACCATTATATAAAAAATTTATCACGTTCAGTTTACTCAAAACAATTTGGTACTACAGTTATAAAAATATAAGAGAAAACAAAATTGATAAACGCGATTTTATTAAAATTGAAGCAGTCATGTCAATATTTGTTTATAATAACATGAAAAAATTATGCAAAAAGAGAAATGTTTCCGCCCGGGATCGAACCGGGGNTTTAAAAAAAACATAACGCTTGTCTGGAATCGAACACGCGACGTTTGTTTTCCTTACGCGCGAGAAGTTTTAGGACTTTCCAATCAAATTGTTTTAGTCATAAGTGACAAAAATAATTGTCAGAAGTGGGATTCGAACCCACGCCCTCAAAGAGGACCAGAAGGCCCAGGAAAAACTCAGTGGTTGTAATCACAGTGAGAAGGTCATTAACCTTGAGTCTGGCGCCTTAGACCGCTCGGCCATTCTGACAGTTGCGATTCTATTTCCTAAATTTATATCTCGTTCTCCTCGAAGCAAAATGCTGTAAATTATTTTACGGTACGATATGGTCTAGTGTTCTAATGAAATATAACTTGTAGTACATTCTGCAGAAATATTAATACCATTATATAAAAAATTTATCACGTTCAGTTTACTCAAAACAATTTGGTACTACAGTTATAAAAATATAAGAGAAAACAAAATTGATAAACGCGATTTTATTAAAATTGAAGCAGTCATGTCAATATTTGTTTATAATAACATGAAAAAATTATGCAAAAAGAGAAATGTTTCCGCCCGGGATCGAACCGGGGACCTTGTGCGTGTGAAGCACACGTGATAACCACTACACTACGGAAACATCTACGAACTGTGATTCCCAAAGAAGTGTTATAAACTTTATAAAATAACATATTTTTGCAATCATTTTCCCTTGCGTACAATTTATGTTATTATTGGATATAATTATGCGAATATAGTGTATAGTATTTCGAAATTTTCTGATCTTCGTTACATTTTCTTTGAATTACACAGCTTTGTTGTGAAAAAAGTGTAGACATTAATGTATTCAAATAAATTTGTATTTATTTGTTTTAATATGCAAAAGTATACAGAATTGTTAATAGAATATAACAAAATTAAATTGCAACTCGCAACTTTAATTACAGTTACTACATGATTAGGAGCAGCAATTCAATGATATAAAATAATAAATATAAAAAAATTGCTAACAGAATTATTTTCTTCTCTTATCTCGGCCAGTAGTTTTTTGTATTATCAGCTTATTCCTTTCTTTAGTGACTTTGGTTGTTGGCCTCTGAATTGCATTGGCTGGTGGTGGTATCCTAACCGGGTATGGATAATTTTCATTTTCTTCTACATGTCTAGCTAGTTCAGTATCTGTATCTAATGTTTCAGGTCCAGAGCTACTTGTTTCTTCTCCAATGTGTCTATACATTGCAAGCAATTTCTGTTCATATTTTCTTTGCATTAAAACAATTCTTCTTTCAGCTTCTAATTTTGTCTGCTTCAATGCATTAGTAATAGTTTGTATTTCCCATTTTTGTGTTTCTATATGACTTTCTAATTCGGCTACTTGAACTTCAAGATTCTTTGAACTTTCTTTTAAATCAATTACTTTTAAGAAATACTTATAAAATAATGTTTTCATTTCACCATCTGATAGTTTTGCCAGTCTTTCCATTAACATTCTCTCTCCTTTCTCTCGCTGTGCTTGATTTTCATCAAAACCTTTTCTTCCACAGATCATCTCATTTTTGTGTTCAATCATGGCATCTATAGCCTCAATAGTCTCACCACATTCTAATAATTTTCGTTCTTCTACAGTTGACAAGGCTTTTTCTTTTTGAAACTTTTCATCAAGATCACATTTCTCATCAACTAAACAGTCTCTGGTACGTCTTAAGTTTTGAATTTCATTTCGTAGGGCTTCCTTTTCATCTATGTCTGCTGTTCTTTCCAGATCTATAGATTTCTCTTTTAAAACAATGTCAAGATGTGTAATTCTTGCACTGACATCCAATAAATTTTTCTTCTTGTCAGGATAATTACCTTTTGATTTATCTTTTCCATCTTCGCTATCCGATTGTATTTCTTTAAGCTTAAAAGCAGTTAAATTATATTTTTCTTCTAGTTCATGAATTTTCTTTTGATCTTCTGCAAGTTCTTCTTCTAACTGTTGTTTACGTTCTACCTCTGTAATCAGTTGCCTCTTTAGATTAATCATTTCTTCTGTAGAGGCATTCAGCGACTTCCAAATTTTTGTACTGTTTTTAAATGATTCGAGTGCAGTTTGATGTATCATTGCGATATCCCTCAATCGGTTCTTGTAATAAACTGTCCTGTTTCTGTACAACTCAATTTTCTTTTTTAAGAGGGGCTTTTTGAAAAAGAAGTCATAATCAGGTCTAGATTTTACTTCAGATATCTTTGATTCTGTTTGAGAACATCGTTTCTCTAATTCAGATCGTTTATGTTGAAACTTTGCAGTGGCTTTAGCAAGTGTGTTCTCATTCTTTGCTAAATCCTCCATCATAAAAAGCCTAATCTTAGCGGTTGATTGAAGCTCTTTCATATGTTTCTGAGCCTCGTCTAAACTTAATTGAATTTTTTTCACCTGAGTTTGCTTTGCATCGTTATTGGACATCAAAATCTTCAATTCCTTCATGGGTTCAGGTAATTTTTTTGTCTCGAGAACATCGATTAACAAATCTGTTGAATTATTCTTATCATTTGGTAGATTTTGTTCCGCTATTGGTTCAGGGATACAATTATGTACAATGTCTGCAGTAGGATATTCTAGTATTTTGTTAGTCAACATTTGGTTTTGATTGGATTTAAGGTTATCATTAAAAGCTAATATTTCATTACACATTTCAGATCCAGGAAGGATTGAGTTCCTTCTGGAATTTCTGCGTCTAACTGGAACAGGCTTTTCTATAGATTCAAACATATCATGTATTCCTAATTTTGTATCATCTGTTTCTGTTTGAACAATATCATCTGTTTGTATTTTAAACTGTTCCATATAGTCATTTAATTTCTCTTGAAAAACTGAATTTTTTAAGCGTGTAACATAGTCATCTTCTTCTTCTTCTTCATCTTCGATGTCATCTCTTTCTTCTTGATCTTCTTCATCATCTCTTAATTCATCTTCGTCTGTCTCTTCCTCTTCTTCATCTATACCTTCTGCTTTATCATCAGACATTTTACTTCCCAAACATGCAGAACACGTTAAACAATTACTTGTAGAGTTGTACTCTTCTACTTGAACAAGTTTATTAAAACTTGTATTTTTATCAACTTTGATCAGTCTTAATAAATTTTCATTTGGGGACTCTGAATTTGTGTCATAGTAATTATTGCGAAAATTCTCTATTTCTCGTCGTGGTCGCATTCTAAAACCTTTGTGGTTACGTTCCAGAACATTTGTGTACTTTAGCGTTTCATTATTTCTCTCACTCTTTCTCAGATCCTTGAGTTTACGCTCTTTCTCGCTCATGCGTGCCTTCGGCTATATTCGCACTATTTCGGTCATCCTCGATTCAGCCTCCGCCATACTTGTGCGTAAATTTATGAGTCTCACGTGTCCGTAAACGTTTTTAAAATTCTCTTCTCGTATTTCAGTTGTTGTCATCGCATCATGTTTAAATATTTTGACGCACAAGTATCAGTACGTTCTAAGTTATAAAAAAAACACGTATACTTTTCGAATAAATGACTCTCGAACCATAAAGGTATATGCATGTATACGCACACAGTATTAGCGGAATCTATGTATATTACAGAATACAGAAATTCTAACATTGTTTATTTTTTCGTTTTTTTTATATATTTATATTTCCTGTTTTGAAACGATCTGCTGTCAGTCACTTCAAATGCTTATATGTATTGTATGAAAGTTGGTAGTGCTGTGATCACCAAATATGTAAGTACAGATCCAATTGGCGTCCTCGAATAATTTAAAGATCTCGATTTTAGTGAGTTATATATATATATATTAAAAATTTTGCGAAGGTATCTATTATATACTTTTATTCAGAAATATCAAATTCATTGTGTTTTCTTCAACTGTTGGGAACATTCAGAAAATTCAGAAAATCGATATGAGTTTTAGATTTTTGGAAACTCAAATGTTCCTAGAAGGAAGCCACAGTAAGAAATTCTGCTTCACCATAGTAAGCATTTTTATCCCCACGATTTTAATGCACATCCAGGTCCGCGCAGTTCCTTTAGAAGGAGAACGGGAGATGATCGAGAGAGACAGAACGAAACCCGCGGGCTCTGCACATACGCTAGTGTCTACACGGACGAGAAAACTAGGCCGTCTCACTTTACCGTGCTTGTGGTCTCACTCTTTTCGCGCATCCGTACGCCTGGCGCTCCATCTGAAACACGTGGCGCAATATTCGACTTTGTCTTTTCGTCCAGTAGGATTCTCGACCATACAGTCCACCATATTTAAATAAATATAAATCCGTAAGCTACATTTTACGTAACACTTTCTAGTTTATGAATCTACTAAATTTTGTTAATTGAACCATTCGAGTACTTGTCAACTGTAACGGGCAGTAATCAATGCTCTACTCTACGAGAAGGATTTTCGAAAGCAATGAATAATTTCGCAATTTTATATGATTTTTACTTTTAAAAATTTGAAAAACGAAGTTGAAACTTAGAAAGACTACACATTTAATTTAGTAATTACAAAAATTTTCAAACTCAGAGGTTTAGAGAATTAGAGTTAAAAATGATTGAAGATTGGAACAGGCAAAAAAGATTTAAGAACTATATGAAACAATTTCAAAACATTTAGTAGAAATTTTGATCCACAATCTACAACGGAACTAGGAATGTAAGGAAATGACTGTGTTGTTTGTGGTTTTGGGTTACGCAGAAAATTGTATTTTATTCGGGCATCGACATTATCACTTCTGGGGTGAATAAGGGCGAACTTTCCTGCTTGCATAAATTTGAGGCCCCGACAAGGGCCGTTATTATTGAATAGAAGAGCCCGCGGAACGCAGGAGGTTGCAAACCGCCTGGCGCCAAGTCGGGCCCGCTGTATCGTTAATCCGGGCCCGCTGTATCGTTAATCCCTTTATTGCTGGTCTAGATACTTTTTTCCGAAACCGTTATTGCATAACATACAAATTGAAAAACTGCATATTAGAGGCATGTTTATTCCATGAAAAAAATTATTTCGATTACTGTATGCCACTAGAACTGGTCTTCTATGTCTTCGTATAAATATATCCCTTTGAAATTACGTAAAGACAAAAATAGTAAACACACACCCCCTTTATGATTCGAATAATTGTACAATGCTCGAATAAATAGACGGAATAGTTTATTCGAATAAATAGATGGAATAGTTTGTTCGAATAAATAGGTAGAATAGTTCGATCGAATAAATAAACGGAACAGATCAATCGTATGAATATTAATGAAATTTAATAAAAATCGTAACTGGTACGTGCTCTCAAACTTGAACATTTTGGGGTTTTTACTTTCACAGATAAAAATAGCTTGTCTTTGTTGCAATGTATAAACGAATATGTTTAATATCTTTACACATCCTCCAATTGTTTTAGATTGAAAAGGATTTCATCCCGATGAAAAACCATAAATTCGTTAGTAATTACTGTATATAATATGATTAAAAAATGAAGCTTAATGATATGAATGATATTTATAAAATTCTTTACAACTGACAAAGTCTTTGTCAATTTCAATTTCAATACCAGGTTCAACTTCAAAATCAATTTCAATTTCCAGGGATTAAATACTGGTATGTTTTGGGATATCGGTATCGTGCTTGAATTAGCTGATTCCATAGATTTCATTAAAATCCAATTGATTTGAATAGAATTCAATAGATTTCAAAGGAATTCCTTTGAATTTGGATAGAATTCAATTGAATTTCGATGGAGTTCAATTGGATTTGAATAGAATCCAATAGATTTCAATAGAATCCAATTATATTTAAATAAAATTCAATTTTTAAAAAATTTGATTATAAACAATTAAAGCACTGCATTTTGTTTTCATTATTCTATCCCAACAAAAATGAACAAGGCTTAAATATATAATTTTAGTTGTTATATGTTTTTTCCTCTTTTTTTGTATGGAATCCGACTAGTGTACGATGCTTGAGCAGGAAGAATATAGAGAGCGCGATAGAGGCGCATAGAAAACACGTTGCGGTGCAACGAAGATGTCGAACGTAGTCGACCGATGAAGCCTCGCCGCGTTAGAGCGAGTCAGAGCGAACGCGCGAGGTGCAGAGCTCGGCGCACGCAAGAGCGAGACAGTAGATATCATTTGCATGCGGGGCACTCGGAGCATCGAATATCACGATTGTCGGCCTGAACGAAGTGTCGTCGATAGCGTAATTGACTACAATCTATCGATCGACCGAATAGATCTCGTGAAAGACCGACTGCAAGCGAAACGAGTACGAGCGAGAAAGCAAGCCTCGTGCGTTTAACTTACTGGAAAACATGATGGTGCAAGTCGAGAACGCAGAAACCAAATCTTGAGTAATTTCTCGATTTTGGGGACAACCAAAGGTGTCGTACAGTAGAATATTTATTGCTGGCCGTCCCAATTAACAAGTACATACTGGGATGTCTAAATTAACAAAATTTTGTAGATTCATAAAGTAGAAACCATTAACTAAAATGTAGCTTACGGGTTTTTGAAAATTTTAATAATTGTAGAAATGATTGTTCTTTCAAGACATTCACGAATAAGCTGAACTGTGTGATCGAAAATTCTACGCGGCGAAAAATACAAGTCGAATATCGCGCTAAGTGTTTCAGATGGAGCCCCAGGTAAACGAATGCGCGAATAGAGTGAGATCGCAAGCATGGTAAAGTAAGGACAAGCTACATTGATCGTCGGTGTGAGTTATTTCGCTTGTGTTGTGCTGATGTCATGCTCTCTTGCCCACTCGCCACTTCCTCTCTTTGTCTAAAACTGTGAGGGCAGCACTGTTTAGCTGTAAAGCGTCGACCAATTAGAGGAGAAGCAGTTTCACTATCTGCTGCATAATTCTAAGCCGGTTGCCGCCGCCTTGACTTATTATAGTGAGAGGCACTACTTTATGCGTCATATCTGTTTTATAGAGAATTAGTTTTGATTTAATTAAACAACATAAAATAATGTTCTGATATAGAAGATTTTACAAGCACATAATAAAAAATGTAAAATATAAAAGTTAATTATTCATTTTGTATATTTTAGAATTTATAACTAGGAATTTATATCTGCACATATATATGACTTGCATATAAACATTATATTATTTTTTATTGTATATTCCTTTTATTTATTTTATCATCTTATTATTTTATTTTTGGACTTTAGCATTCCACATAAACATTTTTTGTGTTTCTCAAGTGCTTAAAAAATGAAGGCTATTTTACAAATTAAAGACTCTCACCTTCACACTGTGTCCACTGAAAATGAAAAGTTTATATAACCTTCATTTTTAATAAGATTCTTTCAGAACTATAGATATCTTTCAAATTTGGCGCCATGTTTGCTACACTCTCTTCTGGAACAGTTCCAGTTCCAGCATTGCGATTGGTCGTTCGCAGAGATTGCAACAGAACAAGAGTCTTGTCAGTTGCTTTACATACCTCTGACAACGCGATCGTTTTCAAAGTCTCTTGTGCTTCTCTTCTTATCTATTCTAAATACACGCAAATCAAATTCTATCGCGAAACTGTGACATCATTAATGATCGTAGAATGAATTGTGTGAAATAATGCTTTTGCGGAAGACATAGCTCGATAGTGTAAAACTATAACCTCTATTTTGCTGAGCACGCTTACATTTGGATATCCAACGTCGTAATTCACGTAAGCGTTTCAATATATTGTGCATTAATATTATTGTTTTCGACATTATGCTCTTGGACGAACGTAAACGGAATTCTATTGCGCCAAAATAAATTGAATCAGCATTGTGCAAAATGAGTTACATCGACGCATAAAACTTTTACGTCACATTTGTGTTTAATAGCCGCTACTTAATTGAAAGTAGAAATATTTTGTGTTCGCCCTTGCCATCTGGGATGCTTATGTAATAGAATACACGTCTAATTTAGTAGAGAAGGTGTCGAGTCACGATAATATAAACATTTTATCAATTATCTGATTTGGGTATGTATTAATAAGTGTTGTATAAAATCGATTATTTGTACGTTGTCATGTCGTTCTTTCCCCCATCTTCGCTGTTTCAGCAGTTCTGTTTTGTATGTTTATTTGCAATGCTTTAATCTGCTTATAAAGGACACATTGACGATCGATAATTATGAATTCTTCCGGTAAGCCATGTGATCGCGTGATAATGTTATTGAATGTGAGTACTTTGCGTACTACTTATTCGATGTATTCGTATATTTTTATTAGTTCGATGACCATTTCGGTTTGTTTAGTCATTTAGGGCTGGTTGACCAATATATTTTTGAAGGAAGGGGGGGGGGGGACGATGACGTACACGAAGTGTCTCTAGTAAAACCGATGAGACCATTCTACTACACTATTAAAGTACAGTGAAATCGCGTTTAACTTGTAGAAAAGTTATACGCGGTTCAATTTCTTAGTCTTCTTCTGCAATTAGATCAGTTATTTACATTCTGTCGGCAACGCCCGGGTTCGTAATCATAAAAAAAACATTCTATTTGTAAATACATGATATATTTCAACGATAAGTACGAGCAAACGGTGTATCACAATTTTCAGTCGTCGTTTGATGTAAGTTACATTACATTACATTATATTACATTTTCAGCTGTTTTTTGTTAGGTCTCGATTTATCCGGGCTCTCTTGGTCCTTATAAGTCCGGTTATTTTTCCCGGTTACGAGTCCCACTGTATGTATACGTTTTCAGTTGACTATAGCGTAGCTGAAGTACAACTTCAAATTCGGGAGCTCAATTGCTTCGCAGTTGATGGTTTTCTCTCGTAAAATAAAAATTCAAATGTTCCAACGATTGGAAATTTGAAATATTAAGAACTTTACATTTAGGTTATCTTTTTAATTATCTGTTAATCCTTTAGGAAGAGTGTATTATGCTATCATGAGTTCTTATCACAAATTGGAAGTTTAATTCGTATCCATTCAGAATTTTCCATTATTGACAACGATATAATTTATTACATTTCAAAAAATGTGTAACTACATAATACAGTACAAATTCGTTTTCCATTTTTTTTTTAGTAATTTTGCAGAGAGATTAACATTATTAGCAATCGTAATATTATAGCAGTTTCAAAGTCAAAATTCTAAGATATATGCAAATCAATAAATCAGTAATATAATTTAGGCATATTCTGATACAGTAGCTCTTTGATGTTTAGAAATGTTTAGTAGAATTTTTACAGTACGTAGATCAATGTTTACTTTGCAAATGTAATGCAGTTCGCAATCACAACATTGCTAGATGAATAAAGATCTGTTCGAGGAAAAAGGTGGACGAGATTAGTTCAAAGGCGGAGACTTCCTGGATGCAAGTCCACGAAGGCTCACGCGATTCATACATATGTATACGTGTATTATATATTGCGTTACCTCGGTTACTCAACACATCCTCTCAACTTTCTATTCGTTCGCGAGCACTTTCGCGCTCGTCTGTCCTCATAGCGGCGCACAGTACGGCGTTCGAACGCGAACGTGTTCTTTCGCGGTCTTCTATACGACCCAATTACGTTGCGAATCAAGGCCAGACTGAAATAATGCGCGATAATGATCGAACCAACTACAGGGTGCAACGGGACAAGCGGTCTGATCCTCAATAAACAACAATTACGTCCACCCTTGGTAACTCGCAATATAGGGTAACTGCGTTGTCTTGTTTGTAGAAAATAATCTCGTTTATTGGCACTTGCTATCTGGCAGTAGAGCTGCGGCACGAAGTTGTCCCGAGATAAAACTTCTAGGAGCCAGTTACGCAACCGACCGATGCCAAAATCTTTTATGACATTTTCTTTTATTCCTTTTTCGAAGGATATTGTTGTACACGTTCCAATGATCGCGAATAAGCGAAGAGAACTAGTTTAAGAACCAGAGAATTAATAGAAATTATTAAAATTTTTTCATTAAAAAAGTGCTCAAGAAATATTTAACGAAGTCTGGATGTATGAAAATGTTTTTAGGACAAGATGGAGAAGAATGTAGGGTTTGCAAGTGGGAGTGCTGAACCATCAGCACCGCCACCAACAGTAGCTCCGCCAATGGCACCCCCTTCTTATGAAGAAGCTGTTGGAAATATGGCCAATCCTCCATACCCAGTATCACCACCATCAGCTATGCCAGCACCATTTTGTACGTAGAACTCGTATTAACTATTTGATTACAGCGTGCTCCAATTCAGTGCCATCTACGTTTTGCGGCACGATCTTCATAATGACGAGATCGTTTGCGATTTTACCATAGCAGAAACAGAATAATAAGAAGCAGTAGGATAACTCTGCCATAGTTGAACACTTGAAATTGTTCTGGTAACAGTTACCATAGGTGCTGTTTTTTTTTAAATACAGTTTTTTCTTCGTAGCGTCGCGCAAGTCGAGAAAGCGAGACGTTCAAACACATACGTCCTTATTAATCAGCTCACTGCTGCCGTACTCTGTTTCATAACATGGTAGGATTTGGAAACTAGAAACATAGAAATTATTGATTTCTTTCAAATATAAAGCCGCGTGCGATATGTTTTTATATATGATATATTGTATGAAACGAATTTGATATTCTTCAGTAACAATATGATAGCATTATTATCAGAAGTAATTTTCAGTAAGTAATGTTCAAATTACAATTTGGTGGTTAAATAGGGCCATATGGGTTGGTAACCCTCACGTTTACGCAGTCAGATTGAAACCAGCCCTGCAATACCTCGCTTCCGCTAGTATGTGGTTGGTTCATAAAGCTAACCGATGGTAAACGATTTCAGATAACCAACCGACAAATCAACCGGCACCGTCATATCCGACAAATTATCCCGCTGCTAGCGAGCCACCGAGTCAATCGCAGACACAGTTCAATCCGAATCCAAATGTTCCATCATCGACGGAAGTTAGATTTATTCCTCAGCCGGTGGTGACGTACGCGCTGGGCCCGAACCCCACAAAACTGTCTTGTCCCAACTGCTACTCCAGCATCAAAACCACCACGATATCGGATCACCAGCCGACTGCCCACATTTGTTGCATCGTTCTCTGTTTACTCGGGTGAGTAACTTAATACTAAAACCACTTACGCGCGCCTATCACTAGCGAAAGGAATGTAATGACGCCATTTTTTAAAGGGATATAGCACTGTTAAAATTTCGAGAAACCAATATTTTTTATCGTTGATTTCAGTCTTATTGCTTGCGAACATTATAAGATACAAAGTTTAAAACACTTCTCTGTGTGCTTGCTATCCAGGATACTATGCAGGATTGTCAGGGTATTCCCTCAAATGTCACTTGTCTTCATCCGTGACGTCACGGATGAGCAGTTGAGCGGAGTAGGGATGGAGGGTAACAGGGTTATCATCGTATACTCTGTTCAACTGTTCATCCGTGACGTCACGAACGGAATCACATGACATTGGAAGAAATCCCTGGCAACCTTGATGCTATGTGCATTAGGTTGAACCTTGCTGAAAAGATTAATTTTTTCGGACTTCCCCTCACCCCCCCCCCCCTAAAATTGTGACACTGACTGAAGAAATAATCGGTACAAAATTTAAGATCGATCAGACAACCGGAATCCGTGCCTTAACGAACTTGAAATATTTTTATTTTTGAAATTTGTGTTTTCTCTATTACAGTATAACGTGAACATTCATGTTTATACCTCATTGAATTTGTCTCTTCATGCTCTATAACTATGCGGAAAAAAATACAAAGTAAATGTAAAGTTATTAAAGTAAAATCATCGTTTACAAATATATGGAAAAAAGTCTCAAACGAAAATTGTATCGTTCGACGAAATACGTATATAATTTCAAAGAAAATATTATATTTTTTGGTCAGTTTTTGAGTTTTCAAAGTCATGATTTCTTTGCTACATTAACTTTGTATTTTCTTTCGGTATAGCAATAGACTATAGTTTGCATAGATTATTTTTTCAGCTACAGTCACAATTATAGGGAGTGTACTGTACAAAATTCGATAGTCGAAAAATAAGGTCCACCTAATATGCATACCTGTGTATCATATCGGAATCCATATCAAGATGTTAGGAAGAAAAATAACAAATACGAATAAAATCATGCAGTATAAAGAACATTGTCTGACTTGTAGATCTTTAAATCATACATTCGAAGAAACATAGTTGCAAACTTTAAAGCCATTTATCTCTAAACTTCATATATTCACTGCAAATTTTAAGTTCATAGAGTGGAACTTGAACATCAATGTCGAATTAGTGCGAAGTAATTTATAAATTATTAAGATATGAGTACGAAATAGACTGTTTTCTGTATCACATCTATAATTTTTGTCCGAATTCACTTAACAAGTTCCACATGTTATGCTTTTTGGGTGTAAATATTACTCATTTCAAGCTGTGTATACCGTTTATAATGATGTGATCCATAGGACTATTTTTGTCACTCCATTCTAATGAATTTCTCGTGAATGTATCGAAAACTATGTGTTAAAACTAAAAAGTATCGGTTTGTTCATCGAACCATGTCAAAGCAGTCCATCTGAAGTCGTTAATTTTAGCTGTTCTGAGCCCTCTGAAATGAACACAAGCAAGGTGCATCTTTTTTTTCTAATCTCTTATTTCGTGGTTAAGTAATCAACATAACATAAAGAAGTAGACTCGGTATTAAAACTCCGCTTGCATTTTCCACCACTCAGCTACTTTGTTCTTTTGAGCTTTGATCTTTTAATCAGTTCGTTTTCCTGTTTTCCTGCCCTCTTGACACTTAGAAATAACATGCTTCTATTAATTGCATTGCATCGCATGAATTTTGTTATTACCAAGTCATTTCTTCATTTCTCTTCTCGAAACCCACGACTTGTAAAATTACTCATAGATCAGCTGTATTGACAGTTGTCGATACATATGTGCTTATTAACTTTGTCATTTGTGTTCGTTGTACACTCACTTTCTGTCATCACTATCGTATGCAACTGTCTTCACCGTCTATCCAGCATTGATGTAAATAGTGTTATATTTCCTAAGGTGTTGGAATATGGTGGGCAAACGATTTCTGTGACCAATGATCTTTGAATTTCAGGTGTTGCCTTTGCTCGTGCCTGCCGTACTGCATGAGCAGTTTCATGAGTGTCCACCACTTTTGTCCGAATTGTAAAAGTTTTATCGGGACGTGGAAGGGTTGAATCTGAGTCGAAAACACGTTCATTATTTGTATAATCAATTACGATTTTTTTACGCAATGAAACACGATGTCGCAACGTTTCGAACAGTATCCTTGGAGAGTATTTCTTTGCTAATTCCGCAATAACGTCGACAGTATGACGATTCCGCACATTTCCTCGACGTTTAATCGTTTTTGCCTTTCCTTATTATGAACAGACAGCTACAGCTAATAGTGTTCATCTCATTTAGTAAATTTCACATCTTGGGGACGGATCGTTCCGTTTCGGACGATATCGCTCGGCCGTTGGATTGAAAGTGGTAATAAAAATGTCAAGCGTAATTGATATATCGATTCATGGAGACTAATCTACGGCTTCCCTGGTCTCGATGCTCTGTTCTCGGGCCGTCGAAACCGTCGTCAAGGTGTGTTAATCGTGTTCGTGCGACCGACAGAGTGTTCCAAGAGAATGGACAGTTTGACACGATTGTCATAGTTTGTATCAGAAATACTATTATATGACGCTTATTCCTTGCGAGACGACACGTATGTAAACTGATACGAGTGATAGTCGGCGACGATTATGTGTTTATATTCGACATGGATTTGATGAATTTGATGAATGGGTGCGAGTGCGGGTGTGGGTGGTACGCTCGCGTACGTGTGTCTTACAGATAGAATTAGACCATTTTCAAGCGTGTTCGGTCCGAGAACTGGTTCCTCCTAATTGCAATTTGTCGCATTCCATTGCTTTCTGAAAATATTTTTATCTATAGAAAGATAAACGCGTTAGGTATTATTAAAGCCGCAATTACCGTCCATCTCTGGGATGGTGATCCGCTTAAAATGTGAACCAGATAATGATAAACAATATTCTCCGTGCGAGAACAGCGAAGAATAGTGTTTACCGAATTATAAACACTACCGGATTAGATTAGCTTGCCATTTCGTATTCATGCGAGATCAATTTGCCATTTCTGTGATCTTCTTAAGTCAATTGATTTTATTCGAATCGTAAAACATGGAGGGACAGTTTAATTCTCGTCCGTTTCTTAGTTTTAATTTAACATTAAGTGTCGTTCCTTTGCCTTTTTCGATGTATTTCCTCGTAGAAAGGCAGTGAAAGAGAGTGCTATATAGAGGGCATATCAGAAGATATATATGCCCCACTTCCAGCATGCAGCTGATTCCGCGCAAAGATCGAGATTAGCGACTATCTAGGGTTTTCCATGCTTCCGAGATTTTCGTCGAACCCGTCGCACGAAAGTAACCGGGAGAAAGTGAGTGATATTTGTACGACAGAGAGTTGCTGTGAAATCGGATTATTTAGGAAAGCGTCGTCCGAATTTTATCGAAGCGAATCTATAGGAACTTGAACTCGACGTGTTTGTACTTTCGGCTCGAATGACAACTATACATTTATTCAAGCTATTTATATTAATGAACAAAGGACGTTATGAAACCGAGAACGAGTCGTTTTGCTGCGTTTCAATGTTTACTAATATCGATGTATTCCACAGAATATGCATTTAATGTACAATATTTTTCATGTATGTGTTTGGAATAATAAAATATACGTTTGTTTTAAACGAAAAGCTGAACCCCATAGAATTCACAATGCTGAACGAACTCGAACGCCGGCGTTACGTTGTAACAGTTGTTTATTTTATTTTTATAAGTGTACAAGATGTTGAACAGATTCGAGTATATATACACTTGTTTCGTAAATGAGAAACAATGGTTTATATTTTGTTAGGTTGTAAAAGTCTCGTACGTACGCTACGGAAACATATTCTCGAGCGTCGCTCGAGAAGTTAATTGGTAGGTCGCGCAAGTTTATGCGGATTTACACTTTTGCAAATCAATTCGAACATTTTTGTGAACACCATCGCAATTGATCCCAATAAATTGATGATAAAACGAAACTGCATCGAATCGAATCAGCTTTTATGTTTCGCGATTATTTCGAAGATTTTACTGCGTACAATAAGCGCATAAACTTGAGCGATCTTAGTTATTAGACTCGAGCAAAAGACGAGTTGCGCTACACGCGGCTAGACTTTGATTCGTACAGTTATATCCCGTTCGGAATCAGTTTCTATGTAACTGATGGTTACAAAATCCCTACGAGTACCTATTTGATACTGCAACGACTCTATTAGCGGTACGATAACGGATTTACTGGTGGTTCAAGAGCACTTGTTCAACGTGCGCGCATGCTACAGTGATTAGTACTCATATAAATGAAGTATCTTTTATACACAACACGCTATCGCGAATTGTATGCGTAGTGAGACAGTGACGAAGAGAGGAAGAGAGAAGAAGGCTCTCGGGAGTTGCAGGAGCTATCCTTTCTGCAGAGACTAGCGTGAGATCTATGAAGAGAAATGAAGGGTAACAAGGGAAGGATATGAAGTCGACACGTGAAGTTTCGCGTTTCCAAGTAGCTCCGCATCGTCGATTCTACGCGAGAGTATCCAGCAGATTGCCACGGGGAAGAAATTGCTGTTGAGCCACGGAAGAGTATTCCATGTCGATTGGTTTGGTGTCGTCGTAAAGCGCCGGAGCTTCGCAAAGGATCGCGAACGTGCCGACGATGGAACTTATCGTGAAGATCCAGAGGAATAGTCGGTCGAGAACCATCGCTACGAAACCCCAATCTTGATCTTCCTGCAGTAGCAGAGAGATTCATTACTGCGAAATTCATGATTATAAAGTACTCGCTCCTCTTAGATTTTAAGAAACTTGACCCTGGAGAAATTAAACGAAAGCTTCTGCACGCATAACCACTTTATTCTTGATATCATCTTTGGAAACGGTTCTTCGGTACTTATCAATTTTGGATTGATAAATGGAATATTGTATAAATACAATTCCTTAGCATTTTTTAATTGGAAAAATAATTTTTCTAGGGTCAATAGAGAAAGTAGATCTTGTAATCCGATACGGGGTCGCTTACCGCGTTAAATTCGTCTTGCCGTTGTATATGGTGCTGAATGAACATCACGTTGTGCAGAGCCTTCTCGAGTTCGAACGGATACTTCTTCTTCGGGGTTACGTCGCTCAGTGACTCGTCTAACCCGGACATCACTGTGGGAAGTCCGTTGTATCCACCTAAGCCTCCCAGGAATCTGTTGTGCGCACTCGTCGTGTGCAAACCGTTACATCCTGAATTAGAAATAAATTAAAGAGTGGATGTAGAAAATGATAAAAGTGAGAAACTGATAAGACACGAAATATCCTGTCCACAGGGAACAGTCTATGAACGCAGAACGCAAACTGGCTTAGGACGTTAACGATAGTACACAGTTTGCACTTTGGCCATCTTCAACGTCCACTCCACAGTTAGAAGTATTTCGTCCGTTAGTATAATATAAGAACAAGATTGGCGAACGAAAAAAGCTATCGATTCAATTTAACACGAATGGTGCTTTCTCATCAAGAATTGTTTCTTGACAAGTACCTCGACGATAAAAACTGCTCTGTAACTAGAGTAAAGCTACTACTGCGCGGCACATACAATGTTGGCTGGCGACACGACGCAGGGGTAAGAAGTTTGCTGCGCTTGCCTTGTCCCGAATAAAAAATATTCGTGTATCCAATAAGCAATTAGATCGCATTCATTTGTGTATCCAATCCTGCGCTCAGTAAACTCGACGGAGACTCTTACCGCCGATTCGTTGATGACGAGCAGAGTCCGGGGAAGAGACTATCGACGACGACTGCATGGCAGCCGCAACAGCAGCAGTGAACTTGTCCTTTGTACCCGATCGCCCTCTGCCATGTATCTTGTGCGCGGCTAGATCGTTCAGCAGGTCGTCCGGCACCCTCATTAAAAGCAACTTCGGTAATCTTCGTATGAAGATCTTCCTGATCCACGGCGCCATTTTGTGAGTGCTAGGCTTCCGATAGTGAACGTTCAGTATGATGATCGTGATCACAACCGAGAGACCCACGAGAATCATCGTGAACAGCAAATATTTGCCTAGCAATGGCAGAGCTAGCGACGTTGACGGTATGATTTCCGATATTAGAAGGAAGAACATGGTCTGCGACAGCAGGATATTGATGCAGAGCGCGATCTTCTCTCCGGAGTCGGCTGGCAGGTAGAAGGCCAGCACCGACAGATAGGAGATGCTCACGCAGGGCACGATCAGGTTCACGGTATAAAACAAGGTTTTCCGGCGCAAGGTGATGTTGAAGAAGATGTCGGGATACGGTTCCTGGCAGCAGGGGTAGTACTTCTCGTGTCGCTCCGCCGGAACCCCCAGTATGTCCCATTCGACGCTGGGATAGTACTCCCGGAGATCGATGCCAACCTCGACTTTGTCTCCCATATTCTGATTGATATGCTTCAGGTCGATCTAAGAAAGACCGACATTTGTGTCCTGGTGACTTTCAGAGAATTTAGAGCGAACTTTCGAATATCTAGACAACTGGAGTATTACTCGCGTACCTGAAATCCGTCGTATGTCCACGATCCGAATTTCATGAAACAGGTTTGTTGATCGAACGGGAAGTACCTGACGTCTATCTCGCACGAAGACTTGAAAATCGCTGGCGGTGTCCACAGCACTTTTCCCGTGTAATGTAGAATCGCTTTCGTCATTGTCGTCACTCCGTACTCCCCGTCGGCGCTGAAAATTCATCGTTCCGTGAATGATCGCGGACGCGTCGATAGCCTCGTCGCGCTCAGGCTGATCACGTTCGTGCAGATTTATACTCTTATAAATCGGTGTGCAAATATAAAAATGAAACAAAGAAACAACGTAAAAGCTTCTTCGTATTTTCGATCGTTGCAGAACCAAGAAATTTGAAGTTCGTTTTTCAAATTTTTGCGAGCCGCGAGTGCACGAGAATCCTCAGTCTCGACGTTAATAATTATATAAATTAATTACCTACTCTGCCTACCCATATTAAAGATATATAAATTTAAACTAAACATTAACTAAAAAATTAAATAATAAAATTAAAGGTTTCGATCGCTCACTTATTGTAGAGGACAATGTCGGGAAGCCATATATGCTCGCTGGGCACGTAGAGTTCAGTGACACCCCCGTATTCCGCCGGATCCCATTGGAACTTGTGGTCCTGCCATTCCTGCCAAGAAATTCGTCGCGTTAACCTCGCGATCCCGCCTACGCTTGAACTAGCAACAAGTTCGTCGACTTACGTGCTCCAGCCAAACGTTCGTCGTGAGGATCTGATCTTTCAAGTTCTGAAACCGTCGAACTCGGCTTTCGTTAGATTCTCGGCGAGATCGCTGGACGAATGATAGATGGAACGCGTGAATTACGTACGAGATCTATGAGCTGCGACAGACGTAGCCCGAGTTTGACGACGACGGTGTCCGTGTTGTTGGATACAGGTCGAATCAGTCGATTGTAATTGGACAGCAAGTCGTCGTAGAGTCTCTTGGCATCGGGATTGGCGTAGCACAGCCTCGCCATAAGGATCAGGATGATCGTTCGCAATAACATCTCCAGCGCGTCTAGGTCTTCGGGAGCTCAATTAGGTTCCTGCACACGAAGAGCAGACACGGGCGAATGTGTAACACGTTCGGTGCGCCGAGTCGGTCGAGTAGCGGGAAAAGTATAATGTGCCGGCGTTTAGCGTGACACCGACGAGTTAATCAAGCCCTGCGAGCCGTCGCTGCTCGCGGAATTACGAACCTGTTGCGTTCGCTGCTGAACGCGATTTAATATTAAATCGAAACCGGCTACGCTCGTTAAGTTTTCTCTCTGCCGTTCCTACGCGAAATGTCATGCTGTTATCGCGTGTATAATTAAGTCCTGTTCGCGGTAGCGCTCGCTCGACGCGATTCGTACGGGACAGCTAACGAAGCGTGTCGCGTCTTCGAGTTCTCTCTACACTTTCCCGTGAAGTTTCCTCGCGGTCCAGACCCCGAGCAACCCCTCGGCGATTGTTCACACTTACGCGGTGGACGCACCGGCTTCGAACGCAACACTCTATGCTATTCCATGCTCGGCCGTAGATCCGAGTTGTCAATCTTGTCAACGGTCGGCCGAAGTGTTTCGCGCAACTTTATCTGCAAATTGCAATCGTTAATTATTTCTCGAGAGAGGGGTGGGGGGAGGGGGCAGGCTCGTTCGAGCAGGCATCGTTTGAATCCGCTCGATCGATTTCACGGGGGATCGACGGTCTTCGGTCTACCCGTTCTAGTTTATAAAGCTCCGAGGTTACGTACTTGCGTTTCGATTCCGTTCAGGCTCCCCGAAGCACGCTTCCCAACGAATCTGATCCCGTGCGCTCTCAAGAGTATCATATTCTAACGCGGCCTCTTTGAATGCTCATCCTCGCGATACCACGGGCCGATCGTGAACGTAACGAAGAATCGATGCGTTACCGCGCATTACTGACGCGCTCCGGTCCCGTTTCGGTCGCGAGACGCCGGAAAAACCGAGAACAGAAATGACATTGTGTACAGCCAATGGACCACTGGATGATGTTACGTGTATCTCAGATTTTCCGGGATCAATATACCATTGCGCATGCACTAGCCTGGCCGAGCGGGGCTGCGCACTGTCGGCGGCCCGTCATGGCGCAAGCTCTGTTCGTTGCACTCGCCGATAGAAAAAGACGGTTCTGCACGGACTCTCCGCCTCCTCGACGCGTCGCGACGGCTCCTACGCCCTACCGAACGAGCTCTATTTCGACCCGGACATCGCTCAAACATTTCTACCCTCCCGACGAGTGTTTCCAACCAACCTGCGTCGGGTCGTTCGGTAAATCGTCCCGATGATACGGCAATCTAATCGATCTTGCGAGCCGATCGATTAGCTCGATCCAGCTCCTCGAACCGATTGAGCACTCGATACACTCTGTTCGATGATATTCTAGACGTTGACACATTCGCCTAACGTTGCTCTCTTCGCAGACTTTAAACTTGATTCAACTTCAAGAGTTTCACTCTTGATAGTATCTTGTCGAAGAATCACGGAACCACCGTACATCCTTGGATAATTTTGCACGAAAGGTTTAAAACTGAATCTACCGATTAACGTGTACTATTTTATAAGAATATCGAGACTGAATTTATATAGAGATTTCAATAGAACTACCAAACCGGTCAAACTGACTGGTTTCTGACTTTTCTCTTTTACAAACGTTGGTACTGTAAAAATATTTATGTTAGAAGTTTTTATACGAACTTCTTCATTCAAGCATATATTGTAATAAAAATCGTAAGTAGTTTAAATAAATCGAATCTTGTGATTTTTATGAAACAATATACGTTAGTCAGGTTTAGGGCACGATAGTTCTAGCGTTAAGATATTTATTCAATTATTTCCAGTGATAACGTCTTTATAATTTAAACAATTCTCTAGAAAAGATGCGAGACAGCTCATTTAGACCAGCGCGATAGGTTCACCGTTGAAGATGTCGAATTTGCCGGATAGCATAGAAAATGGTTCGGCTTTCGAAATAAGAATCTACGATCCGCGATCGAAATCCTCATTGCTGCAATATTTTATGAAACGTAACACTTCCTGGAAATGTCGTACGCGCCACGAATGTTAACAACGTAGCTAATGTTAAAAGGATGATAGAGGAACTTTATTCTGGCCTGGACCGATGGATCAATGTAATTTGTAAATTGTAGCAGCTCGCGTTCAACTGAAATGTCCAAAGTCAAGTTACCAAAAAGTAATACAACAAAATGGCTGAGGCTGTCTGGCGACGTGCCAATTTTATCTTTTGGAGATCGAAATGAAATGGGATGATAGCGCAGCGGCCAGCTATCGAAAGTCGAGCTTCGAAATAATTTTACGCTGGTGTACTTTTCGCAGGCAGTGCACGTTGATAAACGGGATTATTTTTCTGGGTTCCGCTGTTGCGGAGCACTACTGTGCCCGGCTGCGAGCAACTTTCGTGCGTCCGAGACTGGGGTAACTGCCCTCTTCTGTTCATAGAAGTTCACGTGCACGTGCACACTAATGCGTTTTATATGTAGTTTCTTGTTAATAGACTGCGGATGTATACACGGAATTGTCGTTTTAAAGGGCGAATTTAGAGAAAATAGGGTCTAGTGAAATTCGGTCTTCCGTGTGGTATCTGCTGCGGATCAACATATAAAATGGCTGCATTAAATTCTAAATTTTGCATTTTATAACTCTATGGAAAGCTTTATTCGTTGTAGTAATTATCTGAAGCAGAATCTCGCTCAACGAAGTTTCATTAGGAGATACTTTGTTCTTAGGGATGTGAACAACGTGAAGGTAGAAATACATTGATTCGTTAAAAGTACAGCGTTACAGTACATTCTAAAAGTACTCTGTTTGATTTCTCTGGCATGGTCCATTTATTATTTCTACCATGTGCTCGTTTAAAACGTTTAAGGTCATTTGTTATGTGATTTAAGCACATTGTTAATAAATTCCGGACGTTCATGCACGATAAATGTGCAAAGATTATGACATATGACATTGATATATGACCCGAAGAAGACGCAAATATGCACGAAACGTATACACGAATAATACCCAATATCAAGTATTAAACAGCACGTTTTCATAATTATTTTGATTTATAAATGCAACGAATCGCAAATATTTTTCCTAAATTTAATTTCATTAGTTGACTACATTTTAATGTTCTCCCACATAGTTGGCACAATTTTCTATATTACTGAGGAAATTGTGCTAAACTTTCTGAATTCGAAATACAAACTGGCATATTTAGCACTCAAAGGATATTTAAGACTTTAAAGATATGTTTCAGTATGGTCTATAGTTAGTTTAAATACAATTGTTTTGGTTGCAGTTAAATATAATTTTTCAAGTCAAAAAGACTAATGGGGGGAATTCGAGATGTAAAACAAAGTCCAATCATTGACAAGGATCTTTATGTAGGAAGGCCAGGTCGCTTGTCTTTATGTATTAGAATATGATTCATTGTCATGCTTTTCTTCGACGAACGCGGTTTTCTTGAACACATTTTCGAAGCCTTCATCGAAAATTATTAATGATCGTCGCACACTCGGCTATTCTAATTACGTTCCACGCATTTTGTAAAGCTAATTTTAACTCATTCGTTGACTTGAATGATCGATGGGAAGTCTTCTACCTTTACTAATAATAATTTTAATTATTTTTTTCTTCTTTCTCTTTTCTTCTTTTTTCTTCTTTATTCCTCCATTGTGGATTTCAATAATTGAAACTCACAGTTTATCGTTTCTCATTTTCACAAACAGGACTAACAGACATAAAAGAACGTAAATAATCTTCTACCTTTACCAATAATAATTTTAATTATTTTTTTCTTCTTTCTTTTTTCTTCTTCTTTATTCCTCCATTGTGGATTTCAATAATTGAGAAACTCACAGTTTATCGTTTCTCATTTTCACAAACAGAACTAACAGACATAAAAGAACGTAAATAATCTGGAAAACAAAATGGATTAAAACACTGAACATTTGCAGAAAAGAAGGGAGCGTTTTTCATAAAGGGACAGAATTTCCCCCGGACTCTGTATGCTCGCAGAATATATTATACATAGAATCGCCGGAGACTCGCAACTGTGTCTTTCGCGCGCATCGAAAAAGTCCCGCAAAAACTCCGTTGACCATACAGGTAGTCGCTTCCAGGTGGATATTATCGCGGGGATGGCAACACCCTCAACCTATATACGGCGTGTTTGATAACGGCGACGGAAAGGGATCGTTATAGGTCTGAGCCCGCTACATTAGGCCACTTTATCCTTACATGTCGGTCGTTTTCTTGTACTTATATCTCTTGGTAGGTTTATCCAGGCACGCTAGCGGATCGCGATGATAAACGTGACTGTTTTTCCGGGGTTCTTCGTCTCGGAACGCCTGCGGGAGGAAGGTTGCAGTGGCACTTCCCAGCGCGGAATAGTAGCTTCCCTCTAGAAAGGGAGGGTGTGCGTCTGCGTGTATGTACGATCGCAGCCTGCGATCCTATCGTATAAGCTCACGGACACACGCGAATACCGTCTCACGTGTACAGGCTGCATCTGGCTGTGTCGAGGAATATGTTCTGCACCGAGGTGCATTGAAATGCGTTGCGGGTCTTTTCTTTGCGCCGCGCCGTTCTCGCTCTTTTCTTCCCCGTTACCCAACCTTCCCGTCGTCGTTCAAAGTGTTAATGCCAAGATCCTGGTTCGACAAACCGCTCCGAAATATACGATTTTTTAACGTCGAATCGCGTTGACTAATGACGGGGTCATCGGCTTTCACGCCCTGTCAATGTGGAAAATTCGGTCGAAACTTCGTTGCCTTGACTCGCGCCGTCTTGTAATTAGGGGTTGGAAAGAGTTGTGACATCGGTTTCGGTTCTGGAAACAGGGTTGGAGAACTGAAAAAGTCTCATTGCTGTTACAAGGTATATCGTTTTCTTATAACTCGACTGCGAATTTTATGCATTTATAACGAAAATGTGGTGACCAGATGCAAAATATTAATGATAGTTAAAGAATTTCAAAATACAGTTGCATTATTTTCAACTGATTAAAATTATTCAGAACACAATTAAATGTACGGCATCTGTATTTTGAAATTAGTGGAGATAATCCTTATTTTACATAAAAATCTGCAGTCTACTTACAAAAGTTGAACAAAATTTTTCAATGATTCTGAAAACGTTTCAATTTGTAACATTTTCGAGTAAACCGATCGATGAATTGCGAAGGTAGAGGAATCAAGTTTTAAGGTATGTCCAGATTTATTATGGTATGACTTCTTTTTACAACATTACAACAGTTTAAATATCGACAATTCGTCGAAAATCTGAAATTCAGTGTACCACTACCTTTTACACTGACTACATAACAATTTGGAATGGTTATTTTCTGAATCTTTTCAATCCCTGTTTGCATGTCTTCCAGAAAAAGATGAATTCTATTGTTTTTACTGAAACAGTCTCTTAAGGGAGGGTCCTGATTTCGAATATCATTTTTCAAACCATTTTCAGGAATTTTCTTTAATTCCTTAATGCACAGGTATTTCCAACCATATGTGCCATTTCAGAATAGTAAAGCAATTTTTAAAGTTGTTTAAACTTAATTAAAAGGGAATTGACGTCATTCGATTCCCTTGTGGTAGAAACTTTCGTGTACGCAAAGCTAATGAAACATAGTTTCGCATTTAATCAACTTTATATGGTTTGAATGATACACACGGGCGTAACCGTAAATTGGTTGCAAGAATGATTAAACTTTTAGCATTAGATTATGCCACATACAGTTACGAGTATTTAATGTTTCGGAGCCAGTGTATAATGTTTATAGCGTTTGAAGCCAGAGTATAAATATTATTATTTGATCATCTACTTCCTGACAGTTTACATTTCCACATGTTCCATTAATACTAGATTTACGGAACACTAAAAGCAACTATTTTAAAATATTTGATGAAAATAAAGAAATATATTTATTTAAATTTGTATCGTAATGTAT